TTACATCTGGACCAGGCCGAACTGGTCCAAGGGCCACTGCATGAACTATCTCGCGTTTAATTTGCTCAAAGGCTTGTTGTTGCTCAGGTCCCCATTTAAAATCATTCTTCTTACGGGTCACGTAATAGAGAGGGCTTACAATCAAACTGTAATTTGGGATGTGCAGTCTCCAGAATCCCACTGCACCCAAGAAAGCTTGTGTTTCTTTCTTACTGGGGGAGACATTGCTGTTATCTTGTTGATTACATCTGTGGGGATCTGGTGATGCCCATCTTGCCATTTTAATCCCAAAAATTGAATCTCCTGTGCAGGTCCCTTGACCTTACTTTGTTTTATGGCAAAACCGGCTTTCAGCAAGATTTGGATTATTTTCCTCCTTTCTCAAAGACTTCTTCTGCTGTATCACCCTACACAATAATGTCATCAATGTATTGCAGGTGTTCTGGAGATTGCCCCTGTTCCAGTGCAGTCTGAATCAGTCCATGGCAAATGGTAGGGCTGTGTTTCCAGCCCTGGGGCAGTCGGTTCCAAGTGAACTGGACACCCTTCCAAGTAAAAGAAAACTGTGGCCTGTAGTCTGCTGCCAAGGGAATTGAGAAAAATGCATTGGCAATATCAGTCGTGGCATACCACTTGGCTGCCTTTGACTCTAATTCATACTGAAGTTCTAGCATATCTGGTACAGCAGCACTCAATAGTGTTGTGACTTCATTGAGGCCACGATAGTCTACTGTTAGTCTCCACTCTCCGTTAGACATTCACACTGGCCATATGGGGCTATTAAAGGGCGAGCGGGTCCTGCTGATCACTCCCTGACTCTGCAGTCTACGGATTAGCTGATGGATGGGAATCAGGGAGTCTCAGTTGGTGCGATATTGCCGCCAGTGCACTGTTGTGGTCGCAATTGGCACTTGTTGTTCTTCGACTTTCAGCAACCCCACAACAGAAGGATCCTCTGAGAGGTCAGGCAAGGTGGACAGCTGTTTAATTTCCTCAGTCTCTAAAGCAGCAATACCAAAAGCCCATTGGTACCCTTTTGGGTCTTTGAAGTACCCTCTCCTGAGGTAGTCTATGCCAAGGATGCATGGAGCCTCTGGACCAGTCACAATAGGGTGCTTTTGCCATTCCCTCCCAGTTAGGCTGATTTCAGCCTCCAGTACAGTCTTGGGATTCTCTTGTCACTCCAGAAATATAGATGGGTTCCACCCCTTGACAGCTTGATGGCATCAGGGTACACTGTGCACCAATATCTACCAGAGCCTTATAGTTCTGTGGGACTGATGTGCCAGAACATCTGATCCACACAGTCCAGTAAATCCAATTGTCCCCTACCTCCACCTGGCTGGAGGCAGGGCCCCTCTAATAGTCATCACAACGTTAGACACTTAAGTCATGTTGAAAGGGATTATTTTCAGTTATCACAGGAGCTGGAGAAAAATCAGCTCTTCCACTCCACCTGGGAAACCGCTCACCAGAGACTGAAGCCGTAGTTCTCATGGGACGATCAGTCTTGGCCCTTGCTCCCCTCTTTAATTCACTCACCCATTCCTCCAAAACTGAAGTAGGTTTTCCATCCCACTTCGTCATATCTTCTCCGTGATCCCACAGGTAAAACTGTAGGGTGGCCCGTGGCGTATACCTCTTGTATCTCCTTTCTCGAACAGTAGGACGCCTTTTGTTAATAGCTGAGATGTGTGTTGGTACATGTGAGGAGCGGGATAAGTCAGATATATTGTCCCTCAGTTGTTTGAGATCCTGGGACAGTTTTTCCACAGCTGAGATGATGGAAGGGGTGAGATTGTCTTCGAACTCGTGGAGTTTATGAACCATTTCATCCACTGTTAGTGGTACTACGTCATTCCAGGTTACTGTTGCCAATGAATGGGCATATGATGATGGTGCATTCCGTGTAAGTTTTCGCCACATGGGTCGTGTACATTCAACTTCATCTGGATCTATGGGTATATCTCCGTTATTCGGCTTGATGTGATAGATCATCTCTACGATGGCTGATTCCCTCAGAGACTGGATGCCTTTGTCTATAGTAGTCCACTTGGCCGAACGACTCATAACATTGTCCTTGTATGGAAACCTTTCTTTGACAGCTGCCAAGAGCCGCCTCCAAAGACTGAGGGACTTTTTCTCTCTTGCAATTGCTTTGTCAATTCCCCCTTCTCTAGCAAGTGATCCCAGCTGCTTGGCTTCTGTACCTTCTAGTTCGTGACCATCGGCCCCATTGTCCCAGCATCGGAGCAACCAGGTGATGATGTGCTCCCCTGGTTGACGGGTAAAATCTTTTCGCATATTCCGTAGCTCGGCTGAGGTCCGAAGTCGAGAAGTCACCTCTCCTTCTTCTTCTTCATCATGTGATGATGACTCCTGATCAGGTTCTGGGTCGAGTAGTGGATACATTGTTTCTTCATCTTGCTTTAACCTTCCTGCCTCCTTTTTGCTTTTTCTCTTGCGTACAGGGGCAACCGATATTGGTACGAATTGGTCCTCTGGTTTAGTTGCAGTGATTATCACTGTGGTTTGAGTAGCGACTGTACTTGTTGCTGGGGGTGGTGTGGCTGCTGTGCTTGGAGCTGGGATAGCTGCGCTGTCTGTTGCAGTCGAAGTTTGAGTAGCTGCTGTACTTGCCGCTGGGGTAGCTGTGCTATCTGCTGCAGCCAAAGTTTGAGTAGCGTCTGTACTTGTTGCTGGGGGTGGTGTAGCTGCTGTACTTGGAGCTGGAGTAACTGTACTGACTGTTGCTTTTCCCTCTGATCCAGCGACATTTTTTTCCTTTTGAAGGTGCTGGAAAGCATTGAACATGGCCCTGTAAGCATAGGCCAAGCCCCAGCACGTTGCCATGATTTGTCCGTCTCTGGTATGGCCAGAATGACCACACACCTCATTTAAGTGTTTTACTAATTCTTCTGGATTTTGCAGTTGTTCTGTGGTGAAATTCCAAAGTACTGGAGGGGCCCACTGACCTAGATACTTGCCCATACTGTCCCACACACCCTGCCACTCATGGCTGTCCAGCCTCAGAGAAAATCTCTTGGTCCTCCTACTTCGTCGTTTAACCCCAGACAAGACCCAAACCTGACTCTGCTTAACTTTTGAAAACAGATGAAATTGCTGTGGGCAAAATACACTCTGTATACGTGCCAACATGGTGATCCCCATCACAATCAGCAAACAAGTCTCAACAGCATTAAGAGGCCATTCAAAACTCTCAAATGATGCTGTAAATGCTCTGGGGGGAGGACTGGGAGGGTAAAAGAATGTCTCCTTCACAGGTTGACCACCCAAGAAGGACAAAAAGATGTGCAATTGCTAAGCACTTCTATTATATACCTCCCAAAGTATAAAGGTGGTGACCATACTGGGAACATAAACGAGAAAAGTTTCATGATCAATGATTCTATTGTATTACAAGTCATTAACATAAAGTACAATGAGACAAAAACTTTAGCCCAAGCCCCACACTTGAAAAACACTAATACAGCAAATACCAGATGGAAGTAAGGTACGATATCCTGAGACTGTGAGATCAAGAGGAACAACTTTGAGAGCCAATAAATCAGCATTGTGACGAGTGACTATTAATCCGGTCAGATCTGTTGTTATCTCAACCTCTTCGTGCCCCACGTTGGGCGCCAAAAAGAACTGTTGTGGTTTAAACCAAGCCAGACAACTTGTGCACTCACTCCCAGTGAGTGGTGTCAGGCTGCAAGGAATCCAGGCCCACGTTAGTCCCCCCCCCTTCCCCAGGGGCTGCCCCCCCCTTCCCCGCTCCCAGAGGGATGGGGAGGAGAGTCGAAAGAATGCAACTCCCACGGGCTGAGATAAGAACCGTCTAGCAACTAATGTACAATACAAATCACCACCGCTACCACCAATGACAACAATGATAAGAGAAAATAGCAAGGGAAAGGAGTACAATACCACGCGCCGAACAATGAGTCCGACCCCTGTCCTACCGGGTAACTCTCAGTTCCCCCCTGGGCATGACGCGCTGTGGTATGGAGTACCTCTTTGGTCAGTTTGGGTCAGGTGTCCTGTCTCTGCTTCCTCCCGGCCTCCCTTCCTCCCTGGCAGAGCATGAGGCTCACAAAGTCCTTGGCCAAACCAAAACATCATTTTAATCAACTTTGTTCCCAGCCCGAAAGTCAAAACACAGCACTGCACCAGCTACCAAGAAGGAGAAAAAATGACTGCTACTGGTAAACCCAGGACACTGTGGAAACTCAATTACACTGACTCACAGCAGCATTCTTTTTAATACAGGAATTACTGGCTCTGATCAGTTGAGCATTTAAACCACTTGGGGATTATTAAGGCTTTTGCTGTCTGTTCAAAATCAGTCTTATCACTTATCAGGTGCTTGGGACACATCAAGCCCTTTAAGTATGGAAAGATTTTTAAGAATTGCTGTTTTTGTTTGTTTGTTTTTCCCTGTATATATCAGTCTTACTCTGAAATATTTTGCAGTTCAGGATCAGAATAGTTTTCAAATTGCTGTCTAGTCTTTTTAGGAAGTAAGGCAGTTTCTGGTCTGTATGTTCTAATATGTTCAATCCGAGATTCTGATTTCTCAGAGTAAGCAGGATCACAGCATAGCTGGAATTCATGTTGCAGTCTGGACTCAACTACAATAACTGGTATGCTCCTTTTCTATGAACTTAAATAAATGTACAGGCTTTAATTACATCAGCATCTGTTGATGGCATGTTGGACCTTTCAGTGTATGGACATGATCATAGTGACAAATACTATTTCCCGGATGGAGGGCAAGGGGCAGGTGTGCTTCTATGTGAGATAATTCACTATGTATGGATGTGCTCTTCACTGTTTCATTAAGAGTTATCAACAGTTGTATGGCATTTATTATCTGTGAGGGAATTACTTTCTGTTGGTGGGGTATGGTCAAGCCTAAAGGATTAAAAGAGGGAGATAACTGCAGTAGAAATAGCTTAATGTCAGCAACTGACTTTTTGGTTTCTTTTGTTCAGTTGGCTCTGACCCAGAATTTGCCTGCTATGTTGCTGGGGTCAACCAGGCTATGCAACAGAAAAGGCAAGCACAGCATGTCCATCGCCCAAGCAACACACGTAACAACTGGCCTCTCCTTGATGATCCTCATAAAACCTGGCCCTTTCCAGAGTATTTCACAGAAGGGTAAGATTTGGAAGACTACACGTTTTTATTGTATGTGAGTCTGCTTTACTCACAAACTTGACAGAATGTGGGAATACCGAGTGTTTTTTCCAATTGCTGCTGCATCTGTGGAAGCTGTACTTTATTATGTTATAGAATCATAGAATCATAGAATAGTTAGGGTTGGAAAGGACCTTAAGATCATCAAGTTCCAACCCCCCTGCCATGGGCAGGGACACCTTGCTCTAAACAATATCACCCAAGGCCTCGTCCAACCTGGCCTTGAACATCGCCAGGGATGGAGCATTCACAACCTCCCTGGGCAACCTATTCCAGGGCCTCGCCACCCTAACAGGAAAGAATTTCTTCCTTATATCCAATCTAAACTTCCCCTGTTTAAGTTTTAACCTGTTACCCCTTGTCCTATCACCACAGTCCCTAATAAAGAGTCCCTCTCCAGCATCCCTATAGGCCCCCTTCAGATACTGGAAGGCTGCTATGAGGTCTCCACACAGCCTTCTCTTCTCCAGGCTGAACAGCCCCAACTTTCTCAGCCTGTCTTCATACTGGAGGTGCTCCAGTCCCCTGATCATTCTCGTGGCCCTCCTCTGGACTTGTTCCAACAGATCCATGTCCTTTTTATGTTGAGGACACCAGAACTGCACACAGTACTCCAAGTGAGGTCTCACGAGAGCAGAGTAGAGGGGCAGGATCACCTCCTTCGACCTGGTGGTCACGCTCCTTTTGATGTTGAGTGAAAAATCTGAGCCCTTCCTGCTTTGCTGATACTGAGGCAGGGACATTTGTTTGATGTCTCCTTTTCAATGGAATGTATATTGACTTTGACTCAAACAAAGGAAATAAAGAATTTATAACACAGATTTATTCAGAATTGTTTTTTTTCCAGCAATTTGAAAACCTGTAAGACCTAGTTTTGATGAAAAGTGATGCTACTGAAGTTGCAGTACTTAACTGAATTCAGCTTTCCTGATTTTAGCTACTCAGTCTTGCTATACTATAAGGCAGGTACCTTACAACAAGTACATTAGTAATTCTTAATCTCTTCCAAATCATAACTATTTATCAGAAAATAAGTGTTTCAAGATCGTCTGTCCGTTTGTCCGTGATGTAAAGCTGTGATTCTCGAGCTAGATTAAAATCAGTAGGACCAAGTATGTGTTCCAGCTCAGTTCTGCAATGAAAAAGTCAAGTGCTTAGTGATCCTGAAATCAAACATCACTTGTTTCTCCTTCCTGACCAAGAGAGGCACTTTAAATTTTTATAATTATTTTAGTAAAATATACATAAAGTGACTGTAACAGACAAAGCGGTTGATGCTCTCATTTCTAAGTGATCACTTATTACAAATTTAAGTTTACAAATTTTACATTTTACAAAGTGTCAAAATGTCTTTGTGCTGTCGGGTATCACCAGTGACTAAGATTCAGCACAACTTCCTAGGGCATGCAGTCTAGACCAGGCACTAAAAATATAACAGCTGATACAACTCTTTGTCTTACAGTGATGTGACAAATAGCTGGTCTGGTACTCAAGGAGACTCTGCCAGCTCAGGCGATGAGACCTCCTCAGCTAATGGAGACAGTTTATTCTCCATGTTCTCAGGACCAGACCTTATTGCTGCTGTGAAGCAGAGAAGGTAAGCAAAATGTATTGCTCCATAAAAATTCTTTTTTTGATGATTTCATTTCAGTAGCCACGCAAAGGGAATCCCTGCTAATTAGATGAAGCTATAAAAATGTCTGTGTGTGTACTACACTGATGATATGGATCACCGTACAGTGTATCTGACTTTAATGCTCCCAAATTGCATTATATTGGTAGCTGTCTCCTTATACAAACTAGCACTAATGCAAGTAACCAGTTGTTAGCTGAAATTCAGCATGTTTAGAAAAGATCTGACACTTTCCCTTTTCCAAGAGATTCTACTTCAGATGGATGCCACTTCTTTCTAAACTCCTGAGGCGTTACAGATCATCTTTGAACTGGCTATCTATCTAAACTGAGTACAGTTTATAATAATAAATGCACACACACACCCCAACCCAAAACAACCAAAATCCAAAACAGAGAGAAAAAGCCCTTCCAGAATGCACGTGTCAAGGACTTCTATTTGATATTAAGTCAGAAATTTAAACCAAAGGTAGAACATTTTTTCCTCAGTAAATTCACTGTGCTTCAGCAGATGTTTCACTTCCTCAATTGTTTCTGTTGTCTTGTGTCCTGGGTTCAGCAGTAGCAATCATTTTTTCCTTAGTAGCTGGTGCACTGCTGTGTTTCTGACTTTCAGCCTGGGAACAATGCTAACAACACCAATGTTTTTAGTTGTTGCTAAGTAATGTTTACTCTGACCAAGGACTTTCTGAGTCTCATGATCTGCCAGGGAGGAGGGGAAGCCAGGAGGAAGCAGAGACAGGACACCTGACCATAACTAACCAAAGGGGTATTTCGTACCACAGCACATCATGCCCAGTATATAAATTGGGGGCAGTTACCCGGAAGGGCTAGATTGCTGCTTGGGTTGGGCTGGGTATCAGTCGGTGGGTGGTAAGGGGTTGTATTCTCTTCCCTTATCATTATTATTATTGGTGGTAGCAGTAGTGGTTATGCATTATACTTAGTTAATGGAATGTACTTATCTCAACCCATGGGAGTTACATTCTTTTGATTCTCCTCCCCATCCCTCTGGGAGCAGGGGAAGAAAGGGGGTTGGATGGCCTTTGGGTACCCTTGAGAACTTCCTGCTGCTGGTGATGGAAATCACCATGTTGGCACACATACAAAGTGTGTTTAACCGACGACCCTTTCGTCTTAACTCGAAAATTAAGCAGAGTCGGGTTTGGGTCTTGACTAGGGTTAGACAACGATATAGAAGGACCAAGAGATTTTCCCCGAGGCTGGACATTCATTAGTGGAAGAGTGTGTGGGAGAGTATGGGCAAGTATCTAGGCCAGTGGGCCCCTCCAGTGCTTTGGAATTTCACCACTGAACAAGTGCAAAATCCAGAAAAATTAGTAAAACACTTAAATGAGGTGCATTGTCATTCTGGTTATACCAGAGAGGGACAAATCATGGCAATGTGCTGGGGCTTGGCCTATGCTTACAGAGCCCTGTTCAACACTATCCAGCATTTTCAAAGGGAAAAAAAGGACACTGGATCTGATGTCAAAGGAACAGACAACGCAGGTACTCCAAATACAGCAACTACACCAACTCCAAGTGACAAGTACAGCAGCTACAGATAATGCAGCTACTCCAACTCCAAGTACAGCAATAACACCAACCCCAGCGACAAGTACAGCAGCTGCCCAAGCCCTGACAGCAAAGGACAGCACAGCTGCTGGTGCTGCTCAAACCCCAAGAACAGGGGCTGCACCAACCCCAACAACAGATACTGCAGCCACTCCAACCACAGTTATAATTACTTCAGCTAAACCAGAGGACTAATTCGTGCCAATATTAGTTGCTCCTGTACACAAGGGGAAAACCAAACAAGAGGCACAAAAAGCAACCCGTACAGTGGGCAAACAAAGAGCCAGTGCACTTACTACATGGGACAGCATCTGAATGAGATGAATTTCAACCTGTGGGATTTATGTTCTTTCGATTCTTCTTCCCACCCCAGATGATCTTTTGAGGTCCCTTCCAATCTCTAACATACTGTGATACTGTGATACTGTGTGATCCCCACAGTTACTGATATTATTGTACAGGTGGTCTTGCATTTGAGCAGCAACCTAAATTCTAAGGAAATAATGAAAAATCTATTATTTCGAATAAAAAGTTGTAACCTGACCATATTTTGCCAAACTATGTCCTACTATGCAAGTCCTGCAACAGGTTGTCAATACTTCAGAGCAGAATGGCTGAGAGCCAGCTGAACACTCCATAAAGACGCTATTAATGTAAGTTCAGTTCCAAATCAGCATTTTCACTTATATCACAACATTGCAGAAGCACCTCCCAAAAGGTTCACGATGTCTTCAACTTCTCTTTCTAAACAGTCATACTGATCAATTAGCATTGCTCTTCCATGGCTGCTTTGTAGTTTGGTTTTGGTTATTTAATACCATCAGATATTTTTCTAGTATGCCATGTAGTTACGTCAAGCTGTCTCCTAACACTTTCTGGTTATGAAGATGATTTGTGAATTCACTGATATAATTTCCTCAAAGCAAGTAGAGGACCTTTTTATATTTTTGTTGCAGAATTCTTTAATTTGCTCTTTCTGTCATCTATAGGAATCAAACATGTTGATCATGTATTTATTTCCTAAATTTTGACTTCACAGGAGTTTATAGTATTCAAGACTACAAGAAACAAAAAACCCCACAAAGATTATCAAATCACGAAGTCATTCAGGTTGGAAGGGGCAACAGGAGAGGTCATCTAACCCAATCTCAGATCAGCCTGTGTAAGGCTTTTTGAAGTCAGGGAAACTGTTTAGAAGGAAGGACTACAAGCTACTGCATTTTCTTCAATGTCCATTAAAAAAAAACCCAACCAAAATAACAAACAAGCAGCAGGATACACTGAAAACATGATTCAACAAGATGTATTCATTGAATGAAGGAAACAGGGTGAAAAAAAAAAAAAAAGCATTGCTAATCTCTTTTCATCTAAACACTTAAAGAGTATACACATTATGTGGAAGCTGGGGGAATATTTAAAAATGCAAACATTTATAAATTAAGAGTGAAAAAGGAACAGATTAAAGCAGCCAAATTGTGAAAAAAATTTCTGAGATAAACAAGGGTAGTTTTTTGGTTATTTTTATTACAAAAAAAAAATCTCAGTTTATGAGCATCAATGGCACAAAATCAGGATGCTAAATGTTACCACTGAGCATTAACTTGCTGTGTATAAACTCTTCAGAATACCAATAAAGAATGAAAATGCAACAGAAATTCAGATACTGTCCTGGGTTCAGCTGTAACAGTTGTTTTTCTCCTTCTTAGTAGCTGGTGCAGTGCTGTGTGTCAGCTTTATTCTGAGAACAATGCTGATAACACACCAGTGGTTTACTTGTTGCTAAGTAATGCTTATCCCAGTCAAAGATTTTACCATCTCTCATGCTCTGCCAGTGAGGAGGGGCACAGGAAGCTGGGTAGAAGCAGACAGGAAACTTGACCCAAACTAGCCAAAGGGGTATTCCATACCACAGCACATCATGCCCAGTATATAAACTGGGGGGAATCACCAAAAAAGGGCAGATAGGTGCTTGTGTCGGGCTGGGTATCGGTTGGCAGGTGGTAAGCAATTGTACTGTGCATCACTTGGGTTTATTGTGTTTTTTTTCCCTTCCCTTTTTGGTTTGATAATCTCTCCCCTTGTTATTTCCCCTATCATCATTACTATTATTAGCAGTAGCGGTAGCAGTTTTGCATTCTACCTTAGTTACTGGACTGTTCTTATGGCCTGGGTTCAGCTATAGCACTAATTTTTCTTCTTCATAGTAGGTGGTGCAGTGCTGTGATTTTCACTTTCAGCTTAGGAACAATGCTGATAACATCAGTGTTTTTAGTTGTTGCTAAGTAATGTTTACTCTGACCAAGGACTTTCTGAGTCTCATGTTCTGCCAGGGAGGAGGGGAAGCCAGGAGGAAGCAGAGACAGGACACCTGACCCAAACTAGCCAAAGAGGTATTCTATACCACAGCACGTCATGCCCAGTATGCAAACTGGGGGCACTTACCCAGAAGGGCTAGATCGCTGCTTGAGTCGGGCTGGGTATCGGTCGGCGGGTGGTGAGCAGTTGTATTCTCTTCCCTTGTTATTTCCCTTATCATTATTATTGGTGGTAGCAGTAGTGGTTACGTGTTACACTTTAGTTACTGGACTGCTCTTAATCCATGGGAGTTACATTCTTTGAATTCTCCTCCCCATTCCTCCAGGAGTAGGTGGAGGAAGGGGGGGAGTGAGTGAGCAGCTGTGTGGTTCTGAGTTACCGGCTGCACTTAAACCAGGACATTTTGTCTGTAAAGTTATTTCAGAAAAGATATGGAAAAAAAACCCAAAACACCCAACAAAACAAACACCCCAAACACACAGAAAATGAGAGCAGATAGAAAAAAGGCAATTTATTTCTTTCTGTTAAATTTCTTCCTGTTAAATTTCTTCAAAGTGGGCAAAAGCTTAGCCCATCTTCCTTTCACCTCTTTAAATGTGTGTGTGTTGCTGAAGCTGTAGCTCAAAGAACTACTGCACTGTCCAGCCTCTGACAGTATTCAGTAATGAATTTCTTTCTGCTTTGCTTCTCCTACCTGGACTGAGCAGATATGAAACAAGACTAAATATCATTACACATCCTAGGCTGTGAAGTATGACATAATGAAGCTGCAGAACGGTATGTGCCAGTGGCAGATTAATGGGTTGATTCATTTAAAAAATAAATAACATAATTAATGTTACTGTCTTTCTGGGCAGAAAACACAGTAGTGGCGAGCAGGTACCTAGTGCATTACCATCAGCAACTCTTCTTTCTGCAGCAGATGACCGCAATCAGGTAAGCTAAGAATGGGTTTGCTTAGTCATTTTTCTTATTTGCATTTTGGGGTGGTTTACACTAGCCTGACAACTGGAGTAGCATCTGTATCTCCAGATAGCTTAGCTAAAACCTAAACCACCAGTAGACAAGTAGTACTAGATGCTTTTATCAAAGTTACCAAGTTTAAATTTAAAATTTGAGTTAAGCTAAGAGGCAGCAGTCAATTTTAATTGTTTGTGCAGAGAAAACTGAAATACCAGTAGATTTATTACCTGTCTTGTTAGAAATCTTGACTTTGAACAGAGCTACTATGTGTCAAATAAATAAAAAGGTTTCTCATTAGGCAGGTATTTTAAGAATTGGTAGTGCTTTATCTATGTATCAATTCTGCTTTCAAACATAAATTTATCTTCTGAAAATGTCTTCAGGAAGGAATAGGGTGATGTGTTAAGTATTGTCACAAAGAAGTGTTTTATTATTGGAACAAACAAACAAACCCCAAACCAAAACCCCACAAATCTCAAGCACAACTAATGTTTTCTCAGGATAAGAAGACCAAGACCTGGCCTCCCAAGGCACCCTGGCAACATCCATCCTCTGTCATGAACACGCTACCCAGTCAGAATACACCTTTGTATCCCATGAGCAGCCCTATCAACCAGTGGAGCGACACCATGCATATCCTGCAGACACCCACGTGGGCAGCAGCCAATGACTGTGCTCAAGCAGCAGGGCTTTCCTCTAACTTTGCTTATGTACAGCAGCAGCAGCAGTCACAGCAGGCTTCCCAGCAAAAACAAATGAATAAGGGCTTTAAAACTTTCCCAGGGAAGCATGAACGCAGACCATCTTGCCTGCATCAGTACTGACTACTTCTCATGACGGGAAATGCAGCACAGGGCCAAACATAAATTACTGGTACTTTGTTTCACAATTGTGTATTGGTTATATCCTGTTTATCTCATTAAATATGGAACTGAGGGGGTTTGGGTGAGATATGCCAAGTCTTGAATTCTGATTTACAGAGAGCTGAGCAAATATGACCAATATGCTTGTTTGATATACAGGAAGCAGCCCAAAACTGTGATGTAGAAATGCTTTTAAAAACATGTATATTTCCATTGCCTTTACTTTCAAAAGTTGGTCGGGTTTTTTTGGTTGGTTTTTTGTTTGTTTTGTTTTAAGTGCTGAAGGACTACCATACAGGAAAGACTATATTTTATAACTATTTTTCATATAGATTTATAATTAAACATCTTACTGAAACACATTGAATATGTTGAAGCAAATATATAATGGTAACTTTGCTCAACACTGTATTTAAATTTATAATGGCCAAGCTGTAAAGCCTTTGTATTCTCCATAAATGGTTGTGGGCAGCTCTTTTTAAATGAAGTGCAGCAGTGATAGCGGAATAGACTCCACAACTTCGTTAAAGTTGTAAAGTAGGTATGCTTTATTCAGCTGAAGACGCACGGGGGATTGGTCCTCCAAAAGTCACGCGTGCCCCAGTGTTGTTTCCCTCTACATTTATAAGGTTGCACCATACGCCTATACATATTCATGTCCTAGCCCCGCTTCGTATTACAGTGAGCTAGAAGGTCCTTTGCGCCTGCGCAGTGCCCCCTCTGGTCATGGGTAGGGGTCTTCAAGATGAAGTAAATGAGTCTTCCTCTTCTTGAACTTTTCACCTTTTAGTCTTCACGTACGGCCTTCGGGTTTGGTCCCAGCCATCAACCATCTGCTTCTCCCCCTTAACAGTAGATTCAGGGGTCTGCTTTTCCCTATCAATAGGTGCTTATCAGTAGAATCAGGTGTCTGCTTTTCCTTATCAATAGCTAGTGCTTTTGTTCTGCTTAGTAGGCATGATAGGTACAGACAATACCTTTGCTTAAGCAATCGAATTCCTACAACCCCCCTGTACATTGGTCAACCCTCTGCATCAGCAGCAGCTTTTTGCGTGCCACACAAGTGCGTTCATGGTAAGCCTGCTGCAGAAAGAGTTGCAAAATTGAGTTTTGTGGTAGTTTCCTTACTCTAAGTAAAGATCAGCAACAAAACCACTCAGTTTGTGTCACAAATGTTACCTGAGCTTAAAGTAGATGGCATCTGTGTGGATAGTAAGACACTGGTTTTCAAACAAATACAGTTTCTTACTGCTTTGTTTGGCCAAAGGCATATCCACACAGTGCTCATTAAGTGTGTGAAAGTATAGCCAAAAAGACTACTTGCATATGTTTAAAGTCTTAGTTCAGGTGCTACAGTTGATTAAAAATTGTGAGCTGGCTCAGAAGATTAAGTACTGAAATGTGGGGTAGCAGTTAGCTAAAAGAACATTTTTTTTAATTTTTAATTTTAATTTTTTTTTAAGAATACTTATTTACAGTCAGTGTGTGCCATTAAGTCAACCTGTGGAATTAGGAATAATCTTCCAACCAAAATGGATCTGGAAGAGTGGTACTTAAAAATTGAAGGACAATGGTAAATGTATGTATAGCTATCCCACTGTATATTAATTGAGATTACAGAAGACTTTATATAGTTAGAGCTTATTTAAATTTTCATTTCATTTTTGAAGAGTCTAAAACCCACACTATTTTCTGGTATAAGAGTTTTGACAGTATTAATCTAATTTTTGTAGCTTTCTAGTTTAACTACTAGTACAATAGGTTATTAGTTCTAACAACATAATTTTTCAATGAACATAAAGAACATTTGTTGGTTTTGGTTTTACAAACCAAGTACATCTATATCTAAAGATACCAAAAATCCAAGTACATTTTATATATGTATATGTGTGTGTGTGTAAAAAGTGTACACAACACTAAAGCTAGTAAACAAACATGGGTATTTAAAACCCATCCATCTTTTTTGTTTGGTGATGGGCTGTACTTGCAGGCCCAGATTGTTACCTTTTGTGCTGTTTGAGGATGCCTATGTTGCTTGTATTTATACTGTCACCATGTTTTCTGAAACTTCATACTTACTATGTTTAAAAAGATTCATTTGCTGTACATAGACTTTTTACAGCAATGTGCTTTGCACAATCCGTGTGGCTTCTGTGTGCAAACTGTTTATGGTCTGTACTACTATGAATTTGAAAACACTCTGCTGAAAATGTTAGTGGTTATTTAACTTGATGAATGGTTTTGAGTTTCCTAAACTTTGTCATTTAGAGCTAATGTTAAAGCCTAAATTTGGTTGTACTTACTAGTTATTCATACTAACATCAAAATGGAAATTAATAACACTTAATTTTGAACTTTTCTAACAAGTGCCAAGATTACTGCTATAGTTTTTGCAGTTTGTTCATAATGACAAATGCTGGCACGTTTCCAGACCTACAGAAGTTGATAGCGGAATAGACTCCACAACTTCGTTAAAGTTGTAAAGTAGGTATGCTTTATTCAGCTGAAGACGCACGGGGGATTGGTCCTCCAAGTCATGCGTGCCCCAGTGTTGTTTCCCTCTACATTTATAAGGTTGCACCATACACCTATACATATTCATGTCCTATCCCCGCTTCGTATTACAGTGAGCTAGAAGGTCCTTTGCGCCTGCGCAGTGCCCCCTCTGGTCATGGGTAGGGGTCTGCAAGGTGAAATAAATGAGTCTTCCTCTTCTTGAACTTTTCACCTTTTAGTCTTCACGTATGGCCTTAGGGTTTGGTCCCAGCCATCAACCATCTGCTTCTCCCCCTTAACAGTAGATTCAGGGGTCTGCTTTTCCCTATCAATAGGTGCTTATCAGTAGAATCAGGTGTCTGCTTTTCCTTGTGGATATTTCCATCCACAGTCTGCTTTTCCTTATCAATAGCTAGTATTGTTTCTGCTTTTTAGTAGGCATGATAGGTACAGACTATACCTTTGCTTAAGCAATCGAATTCCTCCAACCCCCCTGTACAACCTCCCTGTACATTGGTCAACCCTCTGCATCAATCCCCCCTTTTTGTATAAAGTGAGTAAATTCTTTTACTCTATTATTTATTTATGACATAGCTATCCATGTTCCTTCTATCGATTTATGAAGTGATTTCAATATGCATTGTATTATGCAAGGTGCAATCATTAAAATGAGTAATCCTGTAGCTAAGATTAGAAGGCCTTGTTTAAGTATTTCCCTGAACCATCCGGTAACTGCTAGGTTATTTAGCCATTCATCCAATCCGCCTCCAACAATTCTAAGCTCTTGCATATTTTCCTGTGATTTTCACAGCTTAGCATGAATTGATTCAGAATGGTCAGATAAATTTACGGAGCACATACCTTCAAAATCCTCACAACCATCCTGTAACAATATCTTTGTTACCTCCCTGGCTTGTGCGCTTCTACTTGGAAAGGCTTCTGGCCAACCTGAAAAGGTGTCTCTTAGTACCAACAAATGTCTATACCCCTTTTCCTGTCCTTTTGAAAATTCTGTTGCAACATTTTATATACTGCTATTACCATCCAGAGTCTTTTTGAAATAGTTTCCTGTTTCTACTTGATATTTACATTTCATTTCTTTTTCAATCTTCATAATTTATCATAGATCATTTATAATTCCAGGAAGAAAATTATACCACAAGTAATCAATATTAAAACAATTAACATTAATATTCCTGCAACCAGTTGCCTTAACCAGGAGAGATCAGGTAACCATGAAGGTAACTTCTTCAAACCTCAGGAGGTATCATCCTTGGCCATTTTATTAAATATTTTTGTTTGTTTCCAGATTTCCTCCAGATCTGTTTCAGGAACAGGAGTTCTCATTGATCCTTGTTCCACTGGGATTATATCAATGGTTTTACTTTCTATTTCCTATGGTTGCTGCGATATTTATGATTGCCTTCTCTAATTCACTTATTCCGAAAGATGGAATTAGCCATCTCACAAAACTATGAAATGCAGTACTCTGTTCAGCAATAGGGTTAAACCCTCACTTAACCAATACCATCCTTTCCCTTCAGGAACAGGCCACCACTAAACCACAATACCATCTCTATTAATAGTGTGATTACAATGTGAATAGTGACCTACACCTGTGGCATTTAAACAAACAGTCTCCTATTCTGGTTCCTGGTGTAGTACATCTTTCCATGAGATAGTGTTGGAAATTGGAATGCCAATGAATGGAAGGCCCTGATCTTCCCATGATTCAGGCAACCGTGCACACACCCAACAGTCACTACAATTAACAACTTTAGTAACATTCTGCATTAATTTCAGGTATAAGTATTAGTCCCAAGGTGGTATGTCAGTTATCACATAAATCCAAATTATGACTGATATGATTTCATATGCGAGGGTCCTGAAGGTTCGATCCGCCATGTCTTCTCTGGTTCTGGTGCTTTCTTTGTTCCTTTATCTTCACTGCTGTAAAGGTGGTCAATATTATCTGGTACGGTCCGCTCCACTTCTCCCGTAGAGGATCTCCTGAAAAATTCTTAAACCCAGTCGCTGAATCTAAAAGGGTGAGTCTGATAATCCACACCTCTCGCTCTTGTCCTCAGTATTTTCTTCTTTCTTCTAATTGCTTTTCCCAGATTGATCAGAAACTCTAGGAGATAACCTTCTCCCACTTCCAGAAGACTTTCTCCTTTAAACTGGGACTGATATTGTCTTCCATATAAAATTTTACATGGGATAGCCTCTTCTTTCGACCGAGGTTTAGTTCAAATTCTTAATAAAGCCAGTGGTAAGGCTTGGTATCAGTATCTTGACATACTAATCTGTTGTTTTATTATCTTTCCAACTTGCCCACTGGCCTGTATGGAACATGTAGTTGCCAATGAATTTCTAATTTTTGCTAATTTCTTGTACTAAAGGTTGAGCCTCGGTCAGAAGAAATTGCCTCTGGTACTCCAGAACAAGGTATTACACTGTTTAACAATGTTCCAATTACTTGTCTTGCATTATTTATTCTACAAGGGAATGCTTCTGGCCACCCTGAAAAAGTATTCATTAACACCAACAAATATTGGTCTCAATAATTCAGAAAAAAAATTATTTGTCAGTGCTGTCCCAGATAACTTCCTCCCCAATTGTACCAATTTGATTTCTACTTTCAATTTTAGGGTTATTCTTGAGACAGAGCTGACATTGTCACTAATTGAACTATGTTATACAGATTCCTTCCTTCAATTTGTTCATCTAAGTATTTAGACAAAGAGTTGCTACCTCAATGAGTTTTATTATGTTCTTCCTGAACTAGCTTCCAGAGTTGGTTATAGGGGATTATAATTCGCCCATCAGGTATCTGAACCTAATCTTGTTTTTTTTCCTCTCCTTTGAAAGCTCCAATCAATTTTCTATCCTCCTTTGAACACCTAGGTTTAGATTTCTCAATTGTTAGTTTGCCATCAGGGATTAAGGGAATGAGTTTAGATTGTTCAGCTGCTCATTTGGCTTCAAAATTGG